TGGAAAAGGGGAAAAGAAAATTTCAAAAAAAAAGAAAAAGAAAAAAAGAAAATTAAAAAAATTAACTTTGAAAGACTAAAGAATCAAGGAGGAAAAGGCCATGAATTCTATGTGCTATATGCCCCTAGTGCTGGAATTCTGCTGTTCTCATTGATCAGCAAACTTGGTCTCTGCTGGCTCTTCTTACTGATCTTCTGGGGGAGGAGCCTGTTGCTGTGGTTCTCAAATGTCTTTGCAGGAGGCAGAATTGCCCCGCCCTTGCTGGGTCCGGGCTGAGTAATTGCTCAGGTTTGCTCTTGGGAGGTTTTGTTCCCTACAAGCTTTCCATACAGCTTTGGAGGAGGAGAGTGAAAATGGCGGCCTCCCAGTCTCCACTCTGGAGGAGCTGAGAACTCGGGGCCCCACTCCTCAGGGAACCCCCAGAGAAAAGCAGTCTATCACTCCCATCTCCCCAGTCTCCGGCCACACTCCGTGCTCACCCAACCTGTGACTGAGTGTTTCTATCTCTGGCACATGACCCCGTGTAGTCTCCAAACCCAGCAGATCCCTGCAGTGCGCTCCCATGCCGCTTCTCCCGGTGGAGGAAAGGGAGTCTCCCAGGATCTGCCGCTTGTTGGGCCTGCTGGAGGAGCAGTGGCCTGACTGTGCTGCGGATCGTGGTTTATGGCAGCCCCTAGCTGAGAGCCCACTCCTCGGCTCCATCTCTGCAGCTGGCTTCCCTGCTCTGATACCTGGGAGCTCTCCTGCACTCAGGCACCCCCAGTCTTTCTGTGACCCAGAGGGTCCTGAGACCACACTGTCCTGGTGAGGGTTCCACCCCCCTGCTTAGCCACTGGAGCAACGTCCTTCAGCAGAATTAACTTCTAAAATTTCCAATTTTGTCTCTGCAGCTCTATCACTTGCAAGTAGTGGCTGTTGGAGGCCCCCTCCCCCGCCATCTATCTTCCCGAATATCACCTCAGATTCACTTCTCCGCATGTCCTACCTTCCAGAAAGTGGTTGCTTTTCAGTTCAGAGTTCCTGCCATTCTTTTCTTTGATCTCCTGTTGAGTTCATAGGTGTTCAGAATGGTTTGGTCCCTATCTAGCTGAATTCCTGGGACCAGATGAAATTTAGGTCTCCTACTACTCCACCATCTTGCTGCTCCCCCCTCCATCTCCTCATTTTCAATCTGTAGGTGTCTTTAGGTCTAAAATGAATCTTTTGTAGGCAACATATAGATGGGTCTTGTTTTTTTTATTTGTTCTGCTTCCCTAAATCTTTTGATTGGAGCATTTAGTCCATTTACATTCAGAGTAATTATTAATAGATATGAATTTCGTGCCATTGTATTACCTGTAAAATTGGTGTTTCTGGAGATCTTCTCTGTTCCTTTCTAGTCTTTGTAGCTTTTGGTCTTTCTTTCTTACTCAGAGTCCCCTTTAATATTTCTTGCAGGCTGGTTTAGTCATCACAAATTCCTTTAGTTTTTGTTGGTCTTGGAAACTCTTTATCTCTCCTATTCTGAATGACAGCCTTACTGGATAAAGTATGCTTGGCTGCAGGTTTTTGCCATTCCACATGTTTAATATATCATGCCACTTTTTTTCCTGCCCACCATGTTTCTGCTGTGAACCTGATTTGTCTTCCACTGTAGGTTAAGGACCTTTGCTCCCTTGTAGCTTTTAGGATTCTTCCCTTATCTCTGTATTTTACTAATTTTACTACTACATGTTTTGGTGTTGGCCTGCTTTTGTTGACTTTGATGAGAGTTCTCTGTGTTTCCTGTATTTGGATGTTTGTTTCCTTCCCCAGATTAGGGGAGTTTTCAGCTATAATTTGCTTAAATAAACCTTCTGCCCCCTTTTCCCTCTCTTCTTCTTCTGGAACTCTTAGGATATGAATGTTATTACACTTTATGGAGTCATTGAGTTTCTTAAGTCTCCATTCATGATCCAATATTTTTTTCCTCTTCTTTTCAGCTTCATTATTTACCATAATTTTATTTCTATATCACTTATTCATTCCTCTGTTTCTTTCATCCTTGTGGTCATTACACCAGTTGGTTTTACATCTCAGTTATAGCTTTTTTATTTTACTTTATTTTATTTTATTTTGGCCTGACTAGTGTTTAGGTCTTTTATGTCTGTGGTAAGGGACTCCCTGGTATCTTTTATGCTTTTCTGAAGCCCAGCTAATAATCTTATTATTTTTCTTTTCTTTCTTTCTTTCTTTCTTTCTTTCTTTCTTTCTTTCTTTCTTTCTTTATTTTTTTAATTTTATTGAGAGAGACAGAGAGAGAGCATGAGAGAGAGGAGGGTCAGAGAGAGAAGCAGACCCCCTGCTGAGCAGGGAGCCCGATGTGGGACTTGATCCTGGGACTCCAGGATCATGACCTGAGCCGAAGGCAGTCACTTAACCAACTGAGCCACCCAGGCGCCCCCTTATTATTTTTCTTTTAAATTCTGGATCAGGCATATTAATTTCATCTGTTTTAATTAGATCCCTGGCCTTGACCTCTTCTTATTCTTTTTTTGGGATCAATTCTGCTGTCTTGACATATCATCTAGGTCTCTATCTTCTGTGTGTTAGGAAAGCCGGCTATGTTTGCTGCTCCTGAGAGTAATGGCTTTACGAAGAAGAGATCCTATACTGTCCAGGGCCTGGTGCTTCAGGAACTGTTTCTGGTATATGCTTTCTGCACTCTGCTGTTGTGTTTTAGCTGGTCTTTCCCTCAGGTCAGTCCTCTGCAGTTGCCTGCAGTGGGGAGTGTTTGAACCTTGTCTACTGTGTGGTGAGTTTTAACTTGTTGTGTTTTGATCTGCTTGTTTAAAAAGGCTAGATCCTAATTTCCTTAGAACTGAAGCTTTGCAGATCTCTATGGTCAGTAGAGTTGGTATGTGGGGGGTGGTGTTTCTGTTGGTCTTCTGGGGGAGGGACCTGCTGCCCTGATTCTCAGGTAGCCTTGCCCTAGTGTAACTGTACCTGTAGGGCACAGTGGCACAGTGCTTGGTGTAAGTGGCTCCAGCCTCCACCAGGAGCACCGTATTTCTCACTGAAGTGGGTCAGTGGCATCAGCCCACACTTTTGTCCCTGGAGTGGTGCATTTGCACCTGTCACTATTCAGGAAAGCCCTCACAGAAGAGCAAACAATCTCCCCTCTTGTGTCCCTGACTTCTGTCAGAACCCTGCCTTAACCCCGTCTGTGTCCAGGTTGTCTGTCCACTTGGAAGTGCAGTGCTTCTGTGTTTTATCTCAAACACGCTGGCTGGGCTTCAAAACTCCACATTTTAGAGAGCTGGTGGAGCACAGACCCATGCTGATGTTCTGGGGGAGGGTCTTACTATGCTGGGGCTGGTACTGGTTTGTTCCTGAAGGCAGTTACAGGAATGTGCAGGAGCTTGAAGTTTAGAGTTTAGAGTGCAGCAAAAAGCCAGAGTCCAGGCTGGCTCTCCTCAGGAGGGGTCTCTGCTCCTATGCTTATAACAGAGCTCACTGGCTCTTTTGTCCCCAGAAAGGCCATGCCATCTCTCCCAAAAGCACTCCAAGAAGGGGAACTGTCTCTCCCAGTGCGACCCAGGGATCCTCAGACCATGCTTCCTGCTCCTGGCTTCCACTCTCCTTCTCCACAGGAATGCCTCTACACCTACCAGGCTCCACTCTGGTGATGGCGTGGACTTCTAAAACATCAGACTTTGAGCTCCATTGCTTATAAAAACGTGCAATAATCAGCCACTCTTGTTTTCTCCATCAATGATTTTGGGGAAGTATTGTTCTTGTGCAATGCTCTGCGCCCTGTTCTCTCTCTCTCCTCTCTACCTGATCAGGGCTCCCTCCCCTCTGTAGCTTCCATGACTCTTTTCTCCCCTAAATCACATCCCTGTACCTCCTATCTTCCATGATGTGGCCTCTTCTCTCCCTCTACTTGTGCAGTTTGTTCTCTCAATCTCTCAATCTGCTTCTGCCAGAAGCAGAAGTCCCCTTATAGTTTTTACACAGTTTTCATAGGCTCTACTCGAAACCTGTGGACCCAGTGCTTCTGAAGTTCGGTGGATAAATCTATATTTTAAAAACTACCTCTGAGGTGATTAGTACAATAAACCAGAGTTAAGAATTTCTACCCCAGAACTTGTTCATATCCAGCAGGTGAGATGTAATGAAAGGTCAGAGCTGACACAGAGGAGGAGCCAGGGCTCTAGTTCTTGGCTCAGTTCCTGGTAGCACATGCCTTTCCCTTTTCTCCTACACAGTCCTCAGTGGCCTTCTTCCATTTATTAGTAACCTTAAGTCGGCCTTCCTATGTGAACTTACATGTGAACAGAGACTTAACACTCTAGAATTAGAGCCTACCTACCTACCTAAATCCTGCTTGTTTTTTAAGGGCATTGCAAAAAAGCCCTTTTTTAAGGGCATTGCAAAAAAGCCCTTTTTTAAGGGCATTGCAAAAAAGCCTCTTTTCTGGTTGAAAACTTTTCTGATCCATCTCTGCCAAGTATAAAAATATGATATCTACTCTCTTCACATTTTTGTAACTCTTGGAATCTTGTGCAATATTTTCTCAACCAGATGCTCTTCTAGGGTAGGGGCCATGTTGAGTTCATTATCACAGCCTTGTAGCCCTTAACCCATCATGTCAATAGTGATTGAAAGGGACACGGAGCCTAGTTGCTTAGGAAGGTTTTATTGGTGCATTAGGATAGATGGGGCAATGGACAGATGGAAGAGATAAAAGTAGCTCTGAAACCTCCCACAAACTAAGGTGAATTTGGCACAAATGGTTGACTGGCTCTGTGTCTTCCTGTTCCTGAGGGTGTCTGTACAGCACAGCAGCTCAGAGGAGTTTAGGATAGAAAGCACCTTGCAGAAATGTTTTCATTGAGAAAAACCTAAGAGAGAAACACGTGATTAAGAACTGATGTCCAGAGACATGCCAACTGGACTGGTCAGGGCAGGACAAGCCAACCTTGAAGAAGAAGCTGTCTTCTTCCAGTATTGGGCACTTTAGTCTGGGGCTGGGACATTCACAGCATGTTGCTCTTGAAGTAGGAATATAGCCCCCTGGCTGTGAGGCCTTGCTTCCCTTCTGGCTGGGCTGCCTCCTGGCCCTGGGCTGAAGGCATGCCAGTGTGCAGGCTGCCCTGGTTCTGCATTGGGATCACCATCTCCCTTGTGTGGTCATCCACCCACTCCTGGGTAACCACTGTGGGTTCTCTCTCTCCCTGCCCACCTGTCACGGTACACCTTGGGTGAGTGCTGCTCCAGTCCTGTCTGCCTGTCAGAGTGCTTGACCCAGCCTGGGTCTGTCCTCCCAGCTTTCTCTCTCCTGCCTCATAGAGGCTCACTTGTGTCCATCTTTGACCACTGCCTGACTGCCTCTGGGTCTGTCCCTCATCTCTATCCCCTATGTGACTTGCAGTCTGGCTTCTGTCCTGCTCCATGGTCTGGGTGTGTGTCTGGGTTTGTGACCCTGCTTGTGTCTGAATGTGTTCTCCTGTCACCACTTCACTTGTTTGGTACCGGTCTTGACCCTGGACCTCGGTCCCTCTGGTCTGGCCATGGGTGGACTCCTGTGGCTGTGTGCCCGGGCTTCCTATCGGACGGCTCCTGTCCTGCTCCATGGCCTGGGCAGCACCTCCCAGTGTCTGAACATGTTCTCCTGTCACTATCTGGCTTGTCTGGCTCCTGTCTTGACCCTGGACCTCAGTCCCTCTGGTCTGGCCATGGGTGGATTCCTGTGGCTGTGTGCCAGGGCTTCCTATCTGACCGCTCCTGTCCTGCTCCATGGCCTGGGTGGCACCTCCTGGTGTCTGAACATGTTCTCCTGTCACTATCTGGCTTGTCTGGCTCCTGTCTTGACCATGGACCTCAGTCCCTCTGGTCTGGCCATGGGTGGACTCCTGTGGCTGTGTGCCAGGGCTTCCTATCTGATGGCTCCTGTCCTGCTCCACAGTCTGGGTTGCATCTCTCTGTGTCTGAGTTCCAGTTCCAATCACTGGGTCACTTGTCTGGTGTGTTCTGTCCTGTTTCCTGGTCTGTGACTGTCTCTCTGACTCCCTCTGTCTGGTCTGGTGACTCTTGGCTTCTCCCACTCTCTGGGTCTGCTGCACATGTCCCCCAGCTTGTGTCTGCTGACTCTCTCTCTCTTGTCTCTGAGATTCAGACTGCCTGTCCTGGTCAAGATCCTGACCATGGGTCTGAGCCCCAATCCCTGCCTGTCCTCTGGAGGCCTGAGTGCTCTGTCCACATTGGCTCCCCTCTTGATGCTGTCCTTCCCTAGCCTGCTCCACTTCAGCTCTCCTGCTCTGTTCTTTCCCCAGCTCTTGTGAGGCCCCAGTGGGAAGGCTTCTACACTCTTGAGATCCACAAGCCCCTGCAGGACTCTCGCTCATTGTCTTGAAACAGGCTTGGGCAACTTTAAACACCAGGACCAGGAATTCCTTGAATTCCACAGTCCCTGTATCATCTTCATCCAGCAGGTGCAGGACTTCATCCACAGTGGCAGGATCGTGGAGTTCCTGTGGAGAAGAGGCCAAATCAGCATCTCTCCCCTGAAGAAAGTGTGGTTGGGCCAGTGCACTCAGCTTTCAGGCTTCCCACCCCTGAACGGAGCCCACCTGTGCTGGGCCCACACCACTCACATAGCTACAGCAGCCCTAACATGAAATCACTTTCAGTGTGCAGTCCTGCCCCTCTTGCAAGGGTAGAAAGCACCTTTTGTTTTGTATCTTCTGTGCCTGGCATAATTTCTGGGCTATAGGAGAACTGGATCAAGATTCAATGAAGAATGAATGAAATGATTGAGCTCATAATGATTCTTTGGGTTTTCCATGGCCCCTGGCACCTGGCATTGAACAGGATTCTCTCCAGCAAGCCCAACACCAGGAGAAGCATAGCAGGAACATGGCCCCAAGAGGATTCTGTGAGATCGTCACTGAGGCTCAGGTGTTTCTCGAAGGTGGGGTGGGTGGGGTCTGGTGGGACCACACGTTGCCCTGAGTATGCATTCTGTTGTGTCTATACATTGCTGTCTCTAAGACCATCATCCTGGTTGCTTTAGATGCAAACCAGACAGGGAGAAACAGGGAAATGCCTCAAGGCCCTGGGTCTGCTTTGCCAGTGGTTGGGGGAGTGGAGAGGGGCTCCCAGAGTGTCCCCCCAGCTGATAATAACCAACCTGCCCTCCAAAACTCATTTCTGATGTGACCACTCAGCTAATATTTTTGAGCAACTGCAAGACACAGAGCTATGCTTCTAATGAATTCTTATTAATGGATGATCAAATTTCTGATAGACATAAGAAGTAGTTACTATATCAGATTTAAGAAGCAGCAGAAAGCAACAATTACTTTCATTTCTAGAATATTCAAAGGCTCTGTTTCTCTCTGAGCTGTTCCCTGTGAGTCCTTTCACCTTGTCTCCAAATTAGAATTAATTGAAGTCAAAGTATTTTCTCTAAGGAGCAGGCCTGTCAACTCCTGTGACTGTCTCTTTTTCCTTTGCCTTCCCTCTTTCAGCCTGCACAGCTGCCAGGAGGCTTGGTGGGCCTGTATCCAATGGCTGCCTCCTCAGATTCCTGAGGCAAAGCATCTGCAGGTAAACCTGTTTCCTCTCTCCTTTCTGGCCCTCCCCACCTGGCCGGGCACACCATACCACAATGACATCAGCAAACTCATGTTCCAGGAGCCTTTTCAGCTCCCCCTGGGTGAGCACAGTGCAGCTGACCTCGGTCCTGGCGTAGCGCCTGAAGGCTTCGATGATCCCATTAATGTTTCGCAATAACTGAGGCATCTTTGGACTCAAGCTGGAGACAGAAACAAAGCCCCCATGGGGGCTCCAAAATCAACTTTGGTGTTTCCTCCTGCTTCTTCTAGGTCTCTTGCATTTTCAGCTCTGCTTCCGGTGTCTCTGTCTGGGTCTTCCCTCCCCTTTCCTACTTAATGGATTTTATGAATGGGAAGGAGGGGCACACCATGGTTAGTGGCAGGCTCCAGAGTCAGGACTTCTATGCTAGCTTCACCACCTACCTGTCAGGTGAGCTAGGGTAGGTTGCTTTGCCTTTCCATGCCTCGGTTTACTTATTGTGAAATGAAGGTAATCCTATCAAGTACACTCAATAGGATTATTGTGAAGATTAAAAGGGATAATTCATGTAAAGTATTTGGCAGATGCTGGCTTATACTAAGTGGCAGCTTTTAAATATCATTGTGATATTATTATACACATACCTAATGTTTATACATCTATGTAAACTACTGCTCACAAAGCATTTCCATATGCATCATCTCTTGTACTCCTTATTATCTCCACTTTTTTATAGGTGAGGAAACAGGTTCAGAGAAGTTAGGTGATTTGCTCAAGGCCGCACAGCTTGGGGGAACCAAGAAACCCAAGAACCCGTATCTCCTTAACCCAAATGCAATGAGCCTTCTAGACTGTTCCCTGTGGACAGTCTATCCAGTCGATGGTTGTCTGTCATATGATGTTAGGGTCCTGCTGGGAACACTGACAGGCAATAAATACATATGTAAGTCAACCCCTGCCTCGGGTGGGGCCAAGCAGGAACACCAGGGGCCTGACTCCACCCTTTCTTGCTGCCTTTTGGGTAGGTGTTCAGGAAGAGGCTGGGCTACCAGCTATTGGCAATGCTCCAAGTCCTAAGTTCCTCTGAACTTGACTTCTATCCTCAGCACTGGGACCTGTAAGGGAGGTCAGCCTGCCCATAGGTGTGTGGCTCCTGCCAGCCCACAGTGCTGTTGGCCTGTGAGGAATGGCTCCAAAATGAAGGGAGAGATTTTCCTTCTCGTTAGCCAGGGATCTGGGCATAGCTTAAAGTGAGTCTTGGGTGTAGCTGGTTGGGCAAGAGGCAAAGGGACTTGGAGGTGCATTAAAGCAGAAGCCTCAGAGACCAGGAGATGGCATTGGAGATGGCAAGTTTCAAATGCAGGGGGAGATAGAAGGCTGCAGAAGCTGGGACACTGGGAGAGGGCACCGTGAGATGGGAAGGAGAAGGCATGAGAGAAGGAAGGCCTGTGTGCAGAGGCAGGAGAATGAGGGGAGGCAGGAAGGAGGAAGACTTGGCACTGGGGAAGGTGGGACAACGTGGCCAAAGGCTACAGACCCCAGGTGGGCTCTTCAGGCGGTGTCCTTTCTAGCCCCCAGAAGCCAAAAATTTCAGACAGACTTTGCCTTTGTACATCAAGGTACAAAACTCAGAATATTGTATCTCAACAGAGAAATGAAAAGATCCTGTTTTTTGTTGTTGTTGTTTACCACATGGCAAACCTTAACCTCTGGCCTATAAATAGTAAAAATAATAAGATGACTTTTTAGTTACACTTCAGATCCTTTCGGATAAATCTATAAACTCATCTTGCCTAAATATGGCCCTGAGGTGGTGGAGAACCGCCATGTAAGCCCCTTCCTCTGTGAGAAGTTTCAAGCCCATTGTCGGGCTGGCAGGATAACCTGATTCTGGCCTCACAGACTCTGAGCACTGCCAAGAGGCTTCCAGAACCTTAAGAATAAGACACCTTTGATGTACAGGAAGGCACATGGGTGGTTCTATTGCTGCTGCTAAAACAGGCTTCAGGAGGAGAAGCTGCTGCCAGGCTAGCCACAGGGGAGAAGGAAAGAGCCCCATGCCTTCAGAAGAATATCCTCTCCCACGTGCACACACCCAGTTTGCCTGAGGCCCAGTCAGAGCGGATACTTTCTGCCCCCAGCTGACACCTATGGCCTGGATCTGACAGCCTGGTTTTATGAGCTCAGATCACCAAGACACTGAGAATAGAAAGAGGTTCCTCAGGAGGGCACTTACCTAATACACAGGCAGGATGAACAAGTGGCTGTTAGGCAATGTATGGAGTACCAGGTCAGCAGCAGAGGAACCTTTTATAGGGGATTTAATGGAGGCTAGTGTTTTAGATAGGCCATCCCCACCCCATGGGAAGGCTTGATTCATCCAAGGTTTGACCTCGCCCAGCCCCACTTCCCTTCTTGTCTGTTTTACTTGCTGACATGTTGCTGTGTTGGCTTAATGAGCAGGCCCTCTTACTACACTGGGTGTCCTTCCTGAATCCCTCCCTGGGTCTGTCTCCTCATGTCAGAAGTAATGGGCTCAGCAGTGTTCAGCACAGGTCTGGGTTCCCGGTGAACACTCTCCATCTCCATGTGACTGCAAAGTCATGGGACTCCTTTTTTTTTTTTTAATACAAACATTTTAAAATATTTCCATCTATTGAGGGTTACCCTTTCCAAAGTGGCTACTTTGGGAAGCTTTACATGTTTTTCTGGCAATGTTGCCATTACTTAGAACATTCTTGGAATTCTTGTTTTGGAATTGCCTTTCATGCTAAATTTATGAGACATGCAAGAAATTCAATCTCATTTCTTTTTGGTTGGGTCTCATTTTTGATTAAAACAAAAAAAGTTAATAGCTGTCCCCAGCCCCATCTTGTGGGTAGGCAGCATTTTACAGCTGGTGGGAGAAGAGGCTTAAGATAATTAAGTGCAACCCTTTCGTTGAAAAGATGGGGAACTCAACTGGCCAACCAATCAGCAAGTATTTATGGAGAGCCTATTCCATTTCAGACATAGGGCCAGGCCTGAGGGAAACAGTGTGGAACAGGATGCCAGCAGTTTCTACTCTTACAGATTTTATAGCCTGGCAGTCCCAGGAGAAAGTCCCCAAGAGGTTAACAGTACTGGCAATTACTGCTTGATTTGCTTTGCTTTGATTTAATTTTCATTACCACCTCATTTTGTTGGCTCCTCATAAGTAAGCCCCTTTTTATAAATGAAGACACCAAGAACCCTTGGAGAAGTGGCCACTCTGAAGAAGGGATGGGTGCACCAGAGCCTTCAATTTCTGGCCACGTTTCCCCTCTATTACAATGTGGCACTTTACAAACATCAAATTTGTTCTCTGTGGATGAAGAACAACCATGCTTGAGGGTGATGAGAAGTGAGCATTCTGAGCTCTGAAGCCAAGTCCCAAATGGGCTCCTAACACACATTTTTGCAGAAAGTACATGTAGCTTCTGGAAAGGCATCTTCACAGTAACTTGTCTGCATGCAGCCCACAGGAAAGGCAGTGACGGTCAGGATGGGAAAGTGCGGTAAGGGCCTTGACTGCAAAGACTGGCAGAGGGAGGGCAGCCCTGCAGCCACAGCACAAGCCCCAGTAAAAGGAGCAGAGCACAGGGTGAGATGCAGCCTGCAGGAGGGCCATCTGCATGGAGAGGGGCTGGCTCCAGTCCCTGGTGGGATACCCCATCCCAGAGGTTGCTATGGTAAACTGGTCAGTTCAGAGAAGGCCAGTGTGAGAGGGAGGTTGGGGAATAAAAGGGGGTCCTGCAGATTAGACCTTCCTGCTGTGAGTGGTGTGGTAAGCCTTATCTGAAGGGGCTTTGAACCTCCAGAAAGGTTTGGGAACTAAGGGAAAGTAAGTTTGGGAAGTAACAAGCCAGGTGCTTTATCTATGAGGTAACTCTGAGGTAGGTATCATTACATCCAATTTACTGATGAAGAAACTGAGGTACAGAGAGGTTAAGTAAACTACACAAGGTCACATACCTAGAAAGTGATAGAATTAAATTTGATCTTAGGTCTGCCTGCCTCCAAGCCTGTGTCTTTCCATGGGACAGGACTGAGCCTTGGGAGGTGGCTGGAATGAATGTTTGGGGCTGAGGGAGATGAGGGTGTGTGAGGGATGGGACTGACAGTCTCTGAGGATGTAAAAGTGTTAGTTTGTGAAGTTTGTGAAGAGTTATTACAAATGAGTGGCTTTACTTAGTAGTCACATCCCTTGGGTCTGCCCAGAACCTTGTCCGAAGTTGAATCAAACTCTTATCATATGTTCACTTTGCCTTGGAATAAACAGAAATATCTCAACAAAACAAACTCAGTTTTTTACTTTGATTCCTTCTTACACACTCGCTCAGAAATCGTTACTGATGTTCACTTCATTTATTTCTACAAGCACCTAACAGCCTATCTTTGCTACATTTAGTGGGCTACAAATGAAGAATAAAATTCTGCTTCCCAGGGAATCAGTCTAGCTGGGAGAACAGACCATGAACACCCCAAAGAATTATTTAATAATGGAAGACAAGGTGTTGTAAAATGTAAATCTGTAAAACCAGATACCTTCACCTGCACCCTGGATCACAGAGTGGTGACATGGGACAGGGGACTGGCAGGAAAGAATGATTGGAGGGTGGCCATTTGAGTCTCCTCCAAAAAACTGAAGATGGAAAAATTCCATAATCTTGGGTTTCACCCTCAGAAAAGAACAAAAACAGGTCTGAAAGCCAGAGAGCATTGCCTGCAGTATCACGTGTGGTGAGAGAAGTCACCTGTCCATGCACTGCCTACACATCCTAAATGAGGCACAGGATGAGGACACAGCTATCAGAGAGAAAAAGAACAGTGGACAGTTCTGGGCCTCCTTTTTCTTTCTCTGCCCCAAATGTGGTCTCTTCTCCCAAACCCACCCCACCTGGGTCCTGGTTAGAGCATCCTGGAAGCCCAGATGCTCAAGTTCAACCCCGGATATGGCAGGGAGGATTAGGCAGATACCTGAGTCATGCCTGTTGACACAGTTTGCAGTGTCTTAGTGAGTATCTATTACACATTATGGGCCTAATCCCCAACCTGACAGGTGGTGTTGATCCCACTGTGTCTCTGAGTCCTATGCAGACGGTGAGCATGTGACTAATAATGTCATTACCATTAGCCAGGAAAGCTGGAAGCTGTCATTTGAAAGGGAGTCTGAATTTCCCAGAGCTAGGTGTTCAACCCAAAGACAGAGCTTCTAGAACAAGCAAACCAGAAGGTTCCAACCTCCTTCCCACTGAGAAAAAGGAGAAATATCATGGGAGGTGGGGGAGTTTTTCCTTTTTATGCCTCATCAGCGCTTAGAAGTCTGCACAGTCCTGGTGGTACCAAAGGTTTGCTGATTTAAATGTAATGGTATCCAAGATCTATAAAGAACTTCTCAAACTCAACACCCAAAAAACAAATAATCAAGGCAAAAAGTGGGCAGAAGATATGAAAAGACACTTCTCTGAAGAAGACATAAAAAAATGTTCATCATCATTAGCCATCAGGGAAATTCAAATCAAAACCACATTGAGATACCACCTTACACCAGTTAGAATGGCAAAAATGGACAGGGATAGAAACAACAAATGTTGGAGAGGTTGTGGAGAAAGGGGAACCCTCTTACACTGTTGGTGGGAATGCAAGTTGGTACAGCCACTTTGGAAAACAGTGTGGAGGTGCCTCAAAAATTTAAAAATAGAGCTACCTGATGACCCAGCAATTGCACTCCTGGGTATTTACCCCAAAGACACAGATGTAGTGAAAAGAAGGGCCATATGCACCCCAGTGTTCATAGCAACAATGTCAGCAATAGCCAAACTGTGGAAAGAGCCGAGATGCCCTTCAACATATGAATGGATAAAGAAGATGTGGTCCATATATACAATGGAATATTACTCAGCCATCAGAAAAGATGAATACCCAACTTTTACATCAACATGGATGGGACTGAAGGAGATTTTGCTAAGTGAAATAAGTCAAGCAGAGAAAGTCAATTATCATATGGTTTCACTTATTTGTGGAACATAAGGAATAGCATGGAGGACATTAGGAGAAGGAAGGGAAAAATGGGGGGAAGGAATTGGAAGGAGAGATGAACCATGAGAGACTATGGACTCTGAGAAACAAACAGGGTTTTAGAGGGGAGGGGGGAGGGGGGATTGGTTAGCCCTGTGATAGATATTAAGGAGGGCACGAATTGCATGGAGCACTGGGTGTTATATGAAAACAGTGGATCATGGATCACATCAAAAACCAATGATGTATTGTATGGTGACTAACATAGCATAATAAAATTTAAAAAAATATATAAATGTAATGGGAATAGGCAAGACATTTCCCAGCATGTCTTTATTCCTGTCATAACTCTGCTCAAAATCTGGACCTGCCTAGAGGCCAGAAAACTCCCTTTCCCTGCCTTGCTGATAGGCTTACAGGGTGCTGGCATCTGAGCAGTGGACCTGGTCACCAGACACATCCGCGTGGGATTCTAATTCAGAAGTGAAGGGTGTGAAGAAGTAGGCGCATACAGAGAGGTCTGTGGTAAACTGAGGCCTTCGGATCTGAGGGTGATGCAGGACAGTGGGGTCTTTCTTGGAATAATCTTATAGCCTGATTTGGGCTTTTGTTCTTGTATGGCAGCCTCTAAATTCAACCCTCTGGTCCTAAAGTGGTTCTACTTGCTTTCACGTAGGCCTTCTAGTCCATGGTTTAGTGAAATGCCATTTCATCATGTTTAGGAAAATATTTTCTTTAACAGGTGGGTTTTTTTCCCCCTAGTCATTTAACCATGTTTAAAGATTTCAAGATATAATACCCTAAGTTTAGTCAGGAAATATGAAATAAATGTAATGCCAAGCATATTCATGTAATAGAATTCCATACATCAGTGAAAATGAAAAACTGTTATATATAGCAACATGGGTGACTCTCACATAAATTTCAACGAAAAAAGCCAGTCACACAATCTACATGGTATGAGTCCATTTATAGAAAATTAAAGTGACAGCAAAACCAAACCACGGTGTTACACATGAGAATATTAACTCTGGAGAGGCATTAGCCTAGCTTCTGTTTCTACAGGAAATCCCAGGACGAAACTGGGGCAAAGCTCCAAGGCAGCTCTCATCAGGATGAACCGGATTTGTGCTGGTCTCCCTACAAACCCCACAAACCTGTCTGTGCTGGCCTCCCCTGGGGTTGGTCAGCTTTGAACTATTTCCTCCTTCATTGATCAAAGTGCCTATCCCTCCCAGGG